AAAATAGATTAGCAAATTTTTAAATAGCCTCATGTCTATTTAATGACAGCTGGGCACAGTGGCTCATGCCTGTAATTCTAGTACTCTGGGAGACCAAGGTGGGAGACCCTACCCACTGAGCCACAGGTATTGCCCAATTTGGCAAAATTTCTGAAGGCATTGATTAGGCAGGTTGAAAAATAGATTAGCAAATTTTTAAATAGCCTCATGTCTATTTAATGACAGCTGGGCACAGTGGCTCATCCCTATAATTCTAGTACTCTGGGAGGCCAAGGTATGTGGATTGCTTGAGCTCAGGAGTTTGAGATAAGCCTGAGCAAGAGTGAGACCCCATATTTACTAAAAATGAAAAACTGAGGTAAGGGGATTGCGTAAACCCAAGAGTTTGAGGTTGTTTTGAGGTATGATGCCATGGCACTCTGAGGGCAACAAAGTGAGACTCTGTCAAAAAGATAAATATATATATATATGAATAAAAAATTAAAAAAAAAATAGCCAGCCATTGTGATAGGCACCTATAGTCCCAGCTATTCCGGAAGCTGAGGCAACAAAATAGCTTAAGCCCAAGAGTTTGAGGTTGCTGTGAGCTATGATGACACAGCACTCACTCTGGGTTGACAGAGTGAGACCGTTTAAAAAAAAAAAGAATTTAATGACAATATCTGTGACTTAATATGTATTAGGAAGTATGTTTTTCTCTCTTATCTAGAATTGTGGAAGACATCATCAATAAAGATGGGATAACCAGGCTCAGTGCCAGCCACATACACCTGAGCTGGTGGGTTTGAATCCAGCCTGGGCCCGCCAAACAATAACAGCTGCAACCAAAAAAAAAATAGCCAGGTGTTGTGGCGAGTGCCTGTAGTCCCAGCTACTTGGGAGGCAGAGGTAGGAGAATCGCTTGAGCCCAGGAGTTGGAGGTTGCTATGAGCTGTGATGCCAGGGCACTCTACCCAGGGTGATAGCTTGAGGCTCTGTCTAATAACCATTACAATATAATCATGTTTAGATAGGACAATTAGCATTGTGAGTGTCCTGCTATGGCTGACAGATGAATACAAAAGAATAGGTCAAAACATTTTCAAAAGATGTGGTGTCTGGGACAGATTTGGGGATCTCTATGAGGTAGATTATTCTGTATTATGCAATGTTGCTAAGTAGCTATATTGTCAAGCAAGAACTTTCATCATGGACTTCCAGGTTCACAAGGAAAAAGGTAAGTTGATTGTGGAGCTTTTGGAAAACTGAGAACAGCAGGTGAGATGCTGATTTACAGATGAATCAAGGATGTACTTTGCACAGTTCTCTCCATATTCATAGGGTGAGACTCTCCCATACTAAAATCCAAGGATGTGGGTCAAGGTGTAGTGGCTTACTCCTGTAATCCTAGGCAGGAGATTGCTTGAGCTCAGGAGTTCAAGACTAACTTGACAAAGAGTGAGACCCCGTCTCTACTAAAAATAGAAAAACTAGCCAGGTGTTATGGTGGGCATCTGTATTCCCAGCTACTTGGGAGGCTGAGGCAGGAGGATTTCTTGAACCCTGGAGTTTGAGGTTACTGTGAGTTATGGTGGTGCCACAGCACTCTACTCAGGGTGACAAGTGAGACTTGGTCTAAATAAATAAATAAACACATAAATAAAATTCAAGAATGCACAGGAGCTTTACATAAAATAGTACCATATTTTCAGTTTTGCTTATAACCACCTGCATGTTCTCATTTATTTGTATTATTTTTCTGTGCTGTACATATCTCTATATTTCACTACTTTTGACTCATGGTTGGCTGAATATGCAGATGCTAAGCACATGGTTACAGACAGCCAACTGTATATAGAGTCATGTTGCTTCTAAAATTCTCAAGGGAGCTCTACAAGCACATTCACAGAAAATAAAATACATCTTCTCAATCACAGGAAGATTTTGTCTCCTTGTGATATTACTGTAAGAAAGACCCAAATTATTGAGGATTCAAAAAATTTTTTTAACTGAAAATTAATTTTACCTATTGAGCTCACATACTTTAACTTGTGCCTCAAAAGAGGAGAATGTGCCTACTCCTTTGGAACAATGAAAATATTTACCTCTGTCAAAACACCAATTTAGACTTAGGGCAGATTTTATTCAAAAGGATTACTGTAAGAGGGAGACTATGTCAAACACAGACCTGAAAATGCCCAAGATGCACACAGGAAAGCACTTTCCTTTAATATGAGAAGTAAACAAGGCAGGAAAGCAGGTCTGGGCAGAGGATGCCAGCCC